CACTTCATTCCCTGACTCTATGTGTTCACCAACCTGGAAGCTCTCTGAGCCTCACCATTTTGTTTTGTTTTGTTTTGTTTTTAATGGAGGCTTCATTACGCAGGCATGATTGATTAAATCATTGGCCATTGATGATTCATTCAAACACCAGCTCCTCTCCTTTCCCGAGGTCAGGGGGTGCGACTAAAAGTTCCAACCCTGCAATCACACTGGTTGATTCCCCAGGCAACCAACCCCTTACCCAGTAGGCACTTTCCAAAAGTCACTTCATTAACATAAACTCATGTGTGCTGGAAAGGAGTTTGTTATGAATATCAAAACATCTTTATCACTCTTATCACTTAAGAAATTCCAGCAGTTTTAGAAGCTCTGTGCCAAAAATGAGGACGAAAACCAAATACGTATTTCTTATTATAAATCATATCACAGAGTAAAAGGAAACTTCTCCATCAAGGATCCCAATAACAGTTAATTTTATATGTCAATTTGAGTGGGCCACTTTAAGCATGTTCTCTGGATGTGTCTATGAGGGTATTTCCACATGAGATTTTCATTTGAATGAGTGGGTTAATAAAGTAGCTGGCCCTCCACAAAGCAGGTAGGCTTCATGCAATCTTGGAGGGCCGGAATAGAAAAAAAAAGGCATAGGAAAGAGGAATCCATCCCCTTTTTCCTGCCTCACTGATTAAGCTACAACATCTCATTTCATCTTCCCCTGTCCTGGGACTGGGATTTACAGTGAGACAGGAGGGCAACTTCTTGCTGTTGAGTTAGTCCAAAAGGTCGGCTGCTGGAGCCTGGTAAGTTTCACAAGAATATCGGCCCTGATTGGCATCAAGGATAGCGACAAGGAACAGTCCCTATCACCACACATGCTCAGTAAGGCTCAAGAGTGTTCTTAAGGAGAGCTTCCCTGATTTAAACTATGCCCAGGAGTGGAGATTTAAAATGCTAATGAAACACCCCACACTTAAAGTAGTATATAGTCACACCGCGCATGCCATAAAAAGAAACCTCTATAAGTGTTGGAGAAGGACCAGAGGAAAATAAGGGATGGCCCCTACTCTCAGAGTGCCCATAAATATGCCATACCTGTAAACCTCAGGGAGTCACATTCATTCTCCTTCAGGGTGCATTCCCTTGGTGCATCAAGCTTTCGCTTTAATAAACCTTTCCATCTGCAAAACTGTTTCGCCGCCTCTCTTGATTTCTGTCCTAAGAAGGGCAAGGACCTCTGCCCTGGTAACATCTCCATTAGTTTCTCTGATTCTCAGGCCTTCAGATTCAGACTGAATCACACCAACGGCTTTCCTGGGTCTCCAACTTGCAGACAGCAGATCACGGGACTACTACCATGATACATAATATCATCTGTATCTATCTATCTATCTATCTATCTATCTATCTATCTATCTATCTATCTATAAATAGCTATACATCTATATTATATACGTATAGATATATAGATATATCCTCTATTGGTTCTGTTTCTCTGGAGAACTCTAATACAGACACAGATTCAAGTCCCAACAGAGAACATGCAGGAGACACAAATGTGTAAGAAATCAGCAGCTCACACCCGAGAATAAACAAACACACTTGGCCTTGCCATTGGAATACAGTAGGAGTTGGTAGAAACTGTGGAAAATTGGACAAAACAAGCACAGTTCTAAAGGGCCTCCAGCTGATTGCTGTCACTGAGGCAGTGAGAGCACAGTGTGGTCTGACCTCTTGATTTCTTTAAGTAAATGTAAAGTCTGGAGTTTTAAGTTAAATCTTTCCATTTGTAAAGATTGGTGACAAAGTCAAAAAATTTTTAAAGTGGGCAGGCCAAACAAAATGCAATTGTAGGTCAGATCCAGCCCCCAGATCCCAGTGTGGGAACCTACTCCGGAAAGCCAAGGCAAGAGAGTGCATCATTCAGCCAAAGCCCTCCTGAACTGAACTGTGCTGGCCAGCAAGAAAAATATCTGATTGCCAGGGAGCAGAGACAGCCCAGAAAAAGGCCCTGAGGAATTCATAACCTTGAATTTTCAAGGCAGCTCAAGCCTATCACAGCCTATTGGTTTCTATTTCAATCATTTTGATGAAAGCATTTCTAAGTGGACTACGCATCTTCACTGTTAAACAAAAACCTTCGCTGCTGAAAGCTTTTCTGAAAGAAAGGGTTTATTGAGCCACAATGCTAGCCAGGAAAAGGATCAGGTCATGGGCATGCAGTCTAAATCATCATCAGCAGGGCTAGATGGAGAAGATGAACATGTCCACCATCTGATGGGGCTCTTTTAAAGATGTCAGCTGTTTTGAAAGAATTTACCCTGGCTTTAGATTAGTGGGGGTGGGGGGAAAAGTGAAGCAGGGACAGTTCTAAGATAGATGCACAGTTCATAAGGAAGAAATATTTACTACTTTTGATTGATTGTGGGCAATAGTCCAGAAAGTTCAAGCATGAGCAAGATGTGGTAGCATCTGGTGGCCGTCCATTTCTTTTTAGATAGCCACCTGGAAGTTGATTCAAAGCTCCAACATACATTCAGGGATGTAATAGTCTTTTGTTAGTTGACCCACAGCTATTAACTGGTTAATTACCCTTTTCTCTTTCTCCCACTCTCCACGAGCTGTAATTTAATCTAGGACATTTCAGAATTTTTCTCTTGTCACTCTTTTCTGAAAAATAAGACTGAACTTGGCACGCTAAATAGCCATGCTTTTCCATCTACTCCACAACTGCTGAGGCTGTGGTCAGCTGCCCCAGGTTCCCACTGAGGCCTGTCATATCCCCACTCTGGATGTCAGTTTTCCCTGTCAGTTGTCACTGAGCAGTGGCTCAGTGAAGTGGCCTGCTCACTGGCATGGTTTGCTATGGAACCAAAAGGGGTCTGAGGCCCTTGCACATGGGTAGAAGCCACCTGAGACCTTGGCCCAAAGCTGGCAATCGATCCCTGCCTAACCTTAATAAGGGAAGATGCTGGGTGGAAAAAAGGATGACAGGAGGGCCTGGTCTTAAAATTGAATATAACTTCTTGGAACAGAGAATGTTCATGTAGCTATATGCACAAGGGTGCTTTCCTTGAAGACGTTGACAGAAGATATGACAGTTTAGATGCTGTGTACTCTGTGTGGAACAAAAGCCATGTTGGGATGGCTTTAACGGGTGAGGACCAAGGAGTCTAGAGCGGGCCAAGCTGGGGCTAGAACAGCAGCTCTGTACACTACCAGAGCCCAGGCACCTCTGCCTTTCCATGTGTACCCTCTGTGTGCCTCTGTGGTCTTCATGGTCACAGCATGGTTGCTGTATGTCCAGCATCACACCTGAGCTTCTAGCATAAAGAAGGGGCAAAGGCAAAAAGCAATCCAGCCACACCTGTCCATTTTTAATAGAAAAACAACAGCTTTCCCAGAAGTTCTGCCTGGCAGACTTCCACCTCATCTCGTGGGTCAGAACTAGGCCAGGTGGCCACTTATTCCTAATTGCAAGGAAGCCTGGAAAATCAACTATTTCTATTGAGGATATTGCTGCCCAGACAAAATTGGGTTTTGTAAGTATGGGAATAGGGGAGATGACCACTGGTGAGGAAACATAAAATGTTAAATGATGAGAACTCAGAATCCAGCTAGACTGGCCCCTCTCTGTAGACATGAAGGGGGAAGGGTGTCAAGTTTTCTGTAGTTCCTTAAAGAGCCATTCCTCAATTTCTACCTCAATTTTTTGTTTAGGATGAGTCATTTTCAAGTTTGTTATGGGTCTAGCTGTGTCCTGAACTAAGGCCAGGAACTAATGAGAATGATGTACATAGTCAAAGCTGTTCCGCTTTGCATGGTGAGGTCATGCGGGGGAAGGGTCTCCTAGTGTGGACAGCCAGCAAGTGTGGTGAGGTCACCAAGGGAGCCTGCTACACGGGCAGTGATTGCCTGATTCCCTACATGGCTCTGAACATTTACAGGAAAAGGAGCAGGTCCCAACATCAGTTGGTGGGGCAGAAAGGATGGAAAAAGGGCAGGGAACTCATCTCTCCACTTGGCTCCTTTTTATAACTGGGTGCAGAGTAAAGTAGAACTATTGTCACTTCTTAAAAAGAGAAACACCTGCTTCAGAATGAGGTCCTGGAAAAATATAGCCACATAATCCACTTTGCCTGAGTCATCTTAATCGAGGTTGGGCTCTGAGATCTGGCAGGGGTGAGGTTTGTGCCAGAATCCAGCCTCAGGTCCCATATGGCTCATGGAAGACTTCTGGTCCCAAACAGGGCTCCTGAGTGAACTTCTGTCGTAAACAATCAGCCATGGGTAGTACCTGACCTCTCCCTTTTTTCTCAACAAAGTATCACTATCCTTTAAGGCAGAGCCCTGCCTTCCCCCTTTCCACCATCCCATGTCTACCTTGCCCACGCCACCTTCCACAGCTCTCTGGTTAACCCTTTATTTTCCTGTCTTCCTCCTTGGACATCTCCAAGCCCAGGGCTTGGTCAGCATTCCTTTGTGCCCAGAGCTGAGGGCACATAGGTACAGAAAGTATCTGCATAGACAAACAGGCTAGCAGATGGAAAGAGAGCTTCCTGGATGGTTGGAAAGTGGACAGGAGGCAGAGTGATTGATAAAAAAGCCCACCTCCTTAGTAGGAGAAGGAATAGCAAGAGGTTTAGAAAGGACTTGGTTGACACCCAGTTCAGCCAGTATTCACAGTATGCCCATCCCCAAAGCTTCCAGGGTCTAAGCTTGAGCCATATCCCCAAACAAGATTTTCACTGCCATTTCAGGTTCCTAGAGGAGCAGCATGGCCATGAAGAAATGGTTCCATCTCTCTGGGCCTCAACTGGTTTATCTGGGAATTGAGGACAGCAGTGGCACCTTCTAGGGTATGATGAAGCCAAATGAGGGCACGCATTTGGAGCTCCTGACCCAAGAGACAGAGGTGTGCAGTGGAAGGCAGGTATGGCTGTGAGGGTGAGGACAGGGACCAAGGAGGACAAGAAGGCCACAGCCAGCTCTTGGACTCCTGCTCATGGCCACAAGGCCTGCTGGAGCATGTGCTCATCTGCGACCTCATGTGGGAGTGTCACCACCAAGCCCTTGTTCTCCTGCATTGTCTGGCAGATGATCTCGTAGGCCTTCCAGTTCCCAGACCAACGGCAGGCCACCTGCCAGTAGAGTGCAGAGAGGGTGGTATAGCAGTTGGTGCTAACATCACCGGGTTACCAACAAGGCATTCTGAACACACACTGGGGCCGGGCTCAAATATTCTGTCCTCCTCCACGTCAGGGACCCTCTATGCTATCAGTGGGGCCAGTAGTCTTTGTGTCTGTCCTGGCCCCACTCCTGACTTAGACCTCCTCCTCTCTTGGCCAGACTACTATTTACTTTTCTCTTTGATCTAAAACTGGTTATCCCTTTGCCCAGCCTCGCTATTCCATGTAGGGGCACAAGCCAGGCACTCAGGTATCACCCTTCCTCTCTGGCCTCATAGAATGCACATCCACCTTGACTCTGCCTTAAAAATCTCTCTCTGGTCCACTTTCTCTCTATTTCTGTCATTAGGGCTTCCTAAACAATGGTCATGGCACCTCCCCAAACTCTCTGCTGCCATTCTTGCCAACCCCTGTCTACACATCCCTCCACACCTCTCCCAGTCCATCTTCTCATTGCTTCGCTGCCTTCAGGATGATGATCTCCCTCTGCTGGGGACTTCCAGGTAGTCAAGCCCTCCAGGCATACCCCCCACCTCCAATCTCATGTCCATCCTGTGGGCCACTCAATGTCCAACTCTGTGGGCTCTGGCATTTAGCTCCCCATTTTGCTCATGGCTGCACATACCCTTCCCCATTACCACCTGACTTCTCCTTTGTTCTCCCTTCTTAGATGCCTATGATGTAGTCCTGGAAAGGATGGAGCCCCCCCGCCCCCACCCGCCAACACACACACACACACACACACACACACACACACACACCCCTCCAGCACACACACACACACACACACACACACACACACACACACACACACTGAGAGCCCACTCTGGATCACAGTAAGCCTGATCACAGCTGCACAGCCAGAGGCTGTTCTAGCTTTGGTCCTGCACTCTCTGAGCCCCCTTAGAAATGGTAAAAGATAAAGCTTTAAAAGAAGGCCTCTCCACACCAGCAGTGGGGGTGCTCTCACTGAGAAGGCAAGGTTGGATGCCAGGGGCCCCCTGTGAGGACAGAGGCTAGACTGAAAGGGAAGTCCAGAGGCCGGGAGATGAAAGGAGCCTCTGGAAACAGCCCAGGAGAGATGCAGGCAGCTGACAAGGAAAGACACGAATGAGCAGAAACAGCAGGATGGGCTCCTGACCATTTCTGGGGTAAAAGGGGCAGAACTCTGTCTCAGGTCTGCAGTCAGAAGGGGCAGAGCCACCAATAGAGAAGGCAAGGAAGAGGTTTGGGGTGACTTACTCCATTGGAGACGTCCCAACAGAGCATCACCTTGGCCTTCTGCTCAGCCTCCTGGGTCCCATCCAGCATGAGGCCAAACCCCCCATTGATTACCTCACCCTTGTAAGAAGCAAGAATTTTCAAGTCACTCCTGGGTCCTAACCCTGTGCAGAGCAGGCAGAAACACAAGTGAGTTTTGGAACATTCTGGAACTGTTGTTTGAGGATGCACTGTGGTCAACCTCTGCAGACGGAGGCTGCACCCTCATGACAGGATGCAGGAACTTCATGGTTCTTTGCTGCCCACTCATGCCTTGTGAGCTTTAACCCATGGACCCGGAGTCTACCTGCAGGACCCACTCCTGTGTTACATCTTCCTTGAAGCCTGACCACCTGAACATGACATGATCTCCTTCTGCGGTTCTCAGAGTGCTTCCTTGGAGATCTCTTGTATGGCTCAATTCAATTGTCATTCATCCTGATTTTCTCTTTATGTTCTTTGTCTTCCTTATTTTTTTCTTTTGCTTGTTTTGGAGGTGTATTTTAGGTCCTGATTACTTGATCTGAAGGCTAAGTTCCTTTATTTTTAGCATTTCTTGTTTTCTAATTAATGCATTACTCTTAGTACTGTTTTGACTACCTTCTCTCACAAGTTCATTATGCTCTTGTGGTTGCTTGTTTCTTAAAAAAAATGTCATTTGAATCCTACTTGAGTATGTTAATGCTATTCCACTTTCCATAAGTTTGGCCTGTGGTTTTTCTCCATCAGCCGTGAGAACCCTCTCCTTCCTGGCACTCTTGGACTTCTATCCTCACCCCTGATGTTAATATCAAGGGCTGTTGGAGCCAGCCAAAGTTCCTCCTCAGTTTGTATCACTATATTTCATGTATCCCCTTCAGTTATGCACACAAGAAATACCCTGGATCTTGTCAGCACCTGACAAACACAAACCCCTGGGACCACAGCATCTGGCCTTTCAGTACCCACTGCCAGTGAATTTGCTCTTCCTCCTTCCCACTCCTGGAACGTAACTCCAGTTTCTCTAATCTCAGATCCTTCAGACCTATCTGGCCTTACCTGCTTCTCTGCCCAGCCTGGATCCTATTGACAATTTCAGTCAGTTCCCACCAAGAAAGTGAGTAACCCTCTGTCCCAAGAGCTATCAGTGCTCCCCACCCTGAGCACAGAAGCTGCCCCTGCCTGGCCATCAGCCTGGTGTTGATGCCAGCCTGCACCTGGGCTTTTGCATACTCCCAGCCCTACCTCAGCATCTGCCACCTGGAGAACCCAGCCAGCTCAGATGCTTTAAACTAAGTTCAAAGCAAAGCGACATATATCCAATACATCCATTTAATATCTAGAATATCAAAATGCCTGCAAATTTATAAGAAAAAGCACACAACTCAAAAACCAGGGAGTGAGCAATTCAAATCAAAACAAGAATTTATTACTTCTTGCCCACCAGCCTGGTAAATCCTGTGTTAACATTCAGTGAGTAATCACATTTAATATTGATGAGGTTATGCAAACAGAAATTTTTATAGCAGAAAATTTGGTAGTAGCTATCAAAATTTAAAACACCCACCATTTTTGAACCTGAGATCACAAATAGCATACACATGATAGAGGTTAACATTTATAGGAGGTATGCCAAGTGCCAGGCCCTGTTCTGGCTCCTTTACAAGAGATTCAGTTTGGGTCGGTACATGCATTTGGGCCATGCCTCCTGCAACCTCAGCTCACTGTGACACCTGGGCAAAGTTACTTATCTCTGCTGGGTAGTACCTATTTCTTAGATGGGACTGTTGTGAAAATTAGATAAGCTAACATGCAAATTTCTTAGAAGACCTCACACATGTTATGCACTATATAAGTCTTAGCTATTATTAACTCATTTAATCTTCACCACTAGCCTACAAAGCATTTGCTATTATTATGACCATTTTGTCAAGAAACAAAGCTCAACAGCTTAACTTATACAGACAGATCAAATTCACAATCCATGCTCTTAACTTTGCTACAAAACTGTACATATGAAGATGGTCCCCATGGCATGAGGGGTGGGAAGGGTGAAGGAGGCCTATGTACAGATGGCAGGAGCTCTCAATGTCCTGGCTACTCAGAGTGGTCCTCGGGCTAGCAGAAGCAGCATTATAGGAGCTGGTTAGAAATGCTGATCTACTCCATTCCAGACCTGCCTCGTCAGAAACTCCATTTTAACAAGCTCCCAGGAAATTCCTGTGCACATTCAAGTTTGAGATACACTCTCAGGGGGAAAATGTCAGTATCTGGATAAAGAGGGTGGATTGAATACATGCATTTATTCCTCAAAGACATGGGCCCTGGGGCTGGATCTGGGTGTGAGAACAGGAAGCAAGTTGGAAGGTGAGAGAGCAAACATAGAAATACAGAGATTAAGGAAAAGGTCTCACTCAACACCAAACAGTGAAGCCCTGTCCTTCCCACCTAGCTCCCAGAACCGACTGCACCCTCCCTATAAGGACAGGAGAACCAACAAGTCCGAGACCAGAGATTGACTAGTGACCTCTCCTGCTCTGCAGCCCATAGTCCAAAGGTCCCTGAGCAGATAGGGATGCAGCTTGCCTGTAGGCTCCCTCTCTAAAAGAGCAGAGAGACAGACAGATAGAGAGGGCAGCTGGATAGCCAACACAAGGACAGACACCAAGCAAGCAATCAGAAAGAGGGGCTCCAAGGAGACAGAGGCAACAGAGGGAGCAGAAAACAACACACAACTGATGTTGATTGTCGGGGATATGTAAGTTCTCCAAAACAGGAAGCCAATAAACAATTCACTAAACTAAAAGTAAATCAAGAAATATCAGGGTATGCTTACCATTTAGAAACATGGATTTCCATACAACAAAGAAAAAAATAAAGGTGGTGCTGGATGTGGTCTCCTCTTGAAACAGGAATGGTCATGGGACAGATTTTTTCCTGCTTATTTTTGCAGTAAGCTTTGTGGGAGTATCTAACAGATTAAATTATGTACCTGTGAGTCTGATGGATTCCAACATGAATTTGAGGCACTTTCCTAAAAGAGCCCTCGAGCACAGCCAGGATGCAAGGCATTGATGTCTGCATCTTGTCAGCACATGTCCCTATTCACAGAGCCTGGAGGCAGCCTTGGGGGTGGGAGCAACTTGGGAATTTACAAGGAGCCTTCCCTCTCACAGGAGCCCCAAGTGCAGGCGGTTAAGGTGAGCAGTGTCCTGCCTGAATTCTGACCCTGCTGTGTCCTGCCTCAAAGCCTCGTGTTGCCAACTCTCCACTGCTCTGCCCTATCCCTTCTTGCCCTCTGTTGTCCTGTGGGCAATGATGAGTGGATCCTGGGAGGTGATGGATCTGGGTCCAGATCCCAGCTCCACCACCAGCTCTGTGGTCTTGGGCAAGTTACTCCCCTTTCAGAGTCACTCTTCACCTCTAGAACCCACTCAGCAAATCCAGCACCAAAAGGCCAGATACCCAATAACCAGGTGCTCTTTTCTACCTGGTTTTCTCCAGCCTTTGTATTGGAAAGAAAACACACTTCAGCTATATTTTCCATTAATTAGAGCCACCTGACTGAGCTGCAGCTCCGAATTCCAGCCAAGCGAGCCCTGGGAAGTTTGAGTGCTGAAAGACTTGGCTCTGAAGGACAAGTCCAGGCTTGATCTGGCCAAAACTGGCTCAGTTCAGAGATAGCCAGACCTGAGGAGCTGTCTTCCTCTCTGAAGCTGCAGTGCCCCCTGCTGCTCTGGATAGCCAGGCATCCAGTTTGGCCAGGGAGCTTCCTCAGGTGACTCCCCAGGGAGGCAAACCCTGTGCAGGTGCAGCTCCTGAAGCTCCTTAACCTCTTGGTGCCTCAGTTTCCTCTTTGCAAAATGTATTTTCCTTCTAAGATTAGATGAGAGAGTAGATTCAAAGAGTCTAGCAATTCTTGTCACATGATCCACGTGTATTAAGTATTAGTTATTCACTATTCTTAGCAGCAGATGTGATATTGTGGTTTATAAGAAATATATATTTGGGCTTCATCCCTTTGTTTCTGGCACAGAATTCCTAAAACCCTTGGAATTCCTAAGTTTTGAGAAAGAGAAAGATGTCTTTTATTATGTTAATGAGGTGACCTGTGGACTCCCATCTAAGAATTGGGGTTGGTTGCTAGGGAAACCAATGAAGAATAGAGGGCTCTAACTTTCAGTTCCACCCCAAGGCCTCCAGGGAGGTGGGTGGGGCTGGAAGTTAAATTGATCATCAATGGCCAACGATTTAATCAATCATGTCTCCGTAATGAAGCCTCCATAAGAACTCAAAAAGAATGGGGTTTGAAGAACTTCTGGTTGGGGAACCAGAATGCTTCCACGTTCCACTGTGCTGGGCTTCAAACTCCACAAGGACCTAAGCTCCTCTGTCAGTACCTCTCCCTATGTATATCTTTATCGACTGTTGACATATCGATATGGGCAATCACTTGCAAAATTCTTAATCTTTTTAGTAAACCTAGTTAAGTCTTTTCTTTCCTCTTTTCTGTGGAGAAAGACTCTTTCTCTCAAACTTAATTACCTTGAAACTGGTAATTCAGGTCCTCTGGCTACTGATAAGGATCTCTGAAACTCAGCATTTTCCTTGGCCCATTATAAGACAGGAATGGCTTTAGGCCAAAACGGGGCCCTTGGAGTCCGAGAAGGGAGGCGACCTTTTAACCCAGGTTATTTTTTGTTTTTTTTTTTTTTACGAAATATATTAATCAAGCTTGATTTTCGTTACTTGCTTGATAGGCAAATCAATAATAGAAATGTAACTAGATATTAGATATAAATAACAAGTTTGTATCTTTTTCCTTGTCTAGGGACTGAGGTGGCACTTTGGTAGGGAACCCAAGACCCTGCCCTGACTGAGGTAGAGAGAGAAAGAGCTCCATGAAATTCCAATAGGCAGGGACTATGACCGCAGGAAGCAGAGAGAGAAGAGACCTCCAGTCCCTCAACATCCATACTAATAATGAAGGGGTTCGTGGCTTTTAGAAAAGAGTTAAGCAGGAAAGTTAGGTAGGGGGTTTCGGGCCCGCCTGCAAAGACACTGAAGTCATCCTATTTCTAAATAGGATCACCCTAGTCCACCCACAATTAAGCAAACCAGAAGGCATTTTGGGACTAAAAGTAATTCACACAAGGAAACAAGTAAGCAGAAAATTGGGTACTATTTTCAGCCAGTCTCATGCACCTGCACAAGGAACATCCCAACGACCTGCAATTCACCTGAGCCTTATTATATCATCATGACTGTGCCTGGAAGTTCATTAATATCACAACAGACTGAATTCTGGGAATGAACATGCACAGAAAGCAAATGATGAATCACTGAGTCCCGTAATCTTAGTCGTCAATCAAGGAAGCCTACTCCCCTAAGAAAAGGGACTACCTACAGCAAATAGGTATAAAAACCCCAAAGACTTTATTACTGTGCCCTTGGACACGTGAGCCCTTTTTGAGCCATGCTTCTCTTGCTCAGGCCCACTTCCACATCTGTAAGTATACTATCACTTCTAATAAAGCTATTCTTTTCTGCTGCATTTCGGTGTCTTGCTCAATTCTTGTTTGAGACATCAAGAACCTGGACAACACGCTGAGAGGGGAACCCCACTCTCCGGTAACAATATCCTTTGATCTCCTTTGTAATCAGTAATCTAGTGAGTAAATGGGTTTCCTGAGTTCTATGAGTCACTCTACAAATTAATAGAAGACAAGGAGGGGATTGTGGGAACCTCCAATCTGTAGCCAGTTAGTCAGAAGCAAGTAACAACCTGGGCTTGTGATTAGCATCTGAAGTAGGGTAAGAACAGTCTTGTGGGACTGAGCCCATAACCTGTGCGATCTGAGGCTATTTCCAGGTAGGGAGTGTCAGAATTGAGTTGAATCATGGGACACTCAGCTGGTGTCAAAAAAAAATTGCTGGATGGTACAGGAAAACCTCCCAAATGTTAGAAGTGGTCACAGAATTAAAGTGGACATCTGCATTATGGAACTGTAAATGTCAGCCAGAATGAGACCCTTCCAGAAGCCCCAATTTCCTCATGGTACAAACTGGAAATAGGACTGGCCAAGGCAGAGCCATGAGTTGGGAACCCAGGGGAGCCTAGAACCCAGGTTTCCTGCATCCTAGTTCATCTTCCCTGGGAACCTAAGGTAGAATGAAAAGACAGCACTGTGAGAATTTCTGAGGAAACATCTGTGAATGCAATGTGAAAACTTATACGAAAGGGGTGATTCCGGTTCTTACAGCCTTAATGTCCTGTGTGACAGGGTGAAACCCCAAAAGGAAGAGTGGCTGTGCAGGATACTTCCCTATGTCCACCCCAATGTTCTATCTCTCCAACTTCCAGCTCACACAAGGAAAATATCACAGCAAAGCCTTCAGCAGAGGAAGCTCAGGGGAGGCAGGCCCCAGGACTCTCAAGGGAATCCCTGTGCCTTCCACAGGAGCCCAAAAGGCATTGCCCACAAAGTTCTGCACAACCATGTCTGTGGAAACAAAGACCACCACATGTCATTCCCTGAATGAGGTGGACTGGGGCCAGGACAGGCTCTGGCCAACACACAAGTGGGCATCCATAGGCCCCACTGGCTGAGCCAGCACTACCCAGGCCTGAAGGACAGATGGGGAACTGGAAACAGGTAACTCTAGAAACAGCAATAATTTGTTTGCAAACCTGAGCAAATGAAGGAGAAGTGACAAATGCCCACTTACCTACTATTATCCTTTCCTATAGTTATGCTCTCTAGCACTGAATGCCAGACAAAATACCTCAGAAGCAGAAAGAATAATAGAATTAAAAGGGAGGTGATCATGGTTTTAGCTCAGAGATATAGAAAGCCAAAGAGCATCACTCCCATCCATAAAACAAAGAAAAGGATAGGGAGTGGGGAACACACTGCAATTTTAATAATTTTACTTGACCCCATCAGAGAACTGAGGTCGCAGGGCAACTAACTAACCTGAAATCTGGAGAGAGACAGGCATTTACTTGCATAGAGAAACAGAACCCAACCTGGTCACTTAACAAGTATCTAACAAATTGCTAAGACAAACATGAGCCCTGGGACTGTGAGGCCTCTAGGATACAGATATAAGGGGGCTTGCACACTCTGGCAGCTTTTACTCCAAAAACCTCACTGGGTGCTCACAGAGACAATCAGGGAGAATCCTGAGAATGCCTTTTCTTGGTGCTGGGCTGTGAAGACTGGGAAAGGCCATGAGCCAAGAAATCCAAGAAATGAAGCTCTAGAAGCTAGAAAAGGCCAGGAAGCAGATTGTCCCCTAGAGCCTCGTGAGATGTCATGGCCCAGCCAATACCTTGACTTTAATGCACTGAAACTGACTTCAGACTTCTGACCTTCAGAACTGTGGGAAGATACATTTGTGTTGTTTTAAGCCACTAAGTTTGTGGTAATTTATTACAGTGGCCATAAGATATAAACATAAACTATATTAATATCAGAGAATTTCAGGACCAGGAATATTATCAAGGATAAAGAGGGACATGATATAATAATAAAGAGGTCAATTCTATAAAAAGACATAATAAACCTAAATGAATGTGCATCTAACAACAGAGCTTTAAAATCCATAGGACAAAATGGATAAGAACTTAAAGGTGAAACAGACAAATCCACAAATAGAGTTGGAGACCTCACCACTCTCTCAGTAATTTATAGAATAAATAAGCAGAACATCAGTAAGAATTTAGGTGACTCGAACAGCATTATTAACCAACCTGACCTAATTAATATTTCAAGGATAATCCACCAAAATGACAACAGAACACATGTTCTCAAGAGCTCCAAGACAGACCACGTTCTGAGCCATGAACTCCTGAACGAATTTAAAAGAACAGTAATAATACACATTAAGTTCTCAGACCATAGTAGAATTAAACCAGAAGTTGGGAACAGAAAGATATCTGAAAATTCACCCAAAATGTGAAAATTAAAAAAACGTACTTTCAAATAACACATAGATCAAAGAGGAAGTATCAAAGGAAATTTAATATTTTGAACTGGGTGAAAATGAAAATACATTATATAAAATTTGTAGGATGCAGCTGAAGCCATGTTTAGAGATGAATTTATAGCATTAAATATCTATGTTAGAAAAGAAAAAGGTCTCAACTCAGTAATCTCAGAAAGAGGTTACTTTTACCTTCCAGAAAGAATAGCAAATTAAACCAAAAGCAAGAAGAAGGAAGGACACATGAAAAATTAGAGCAGAAATCGATGAATTTGGAAGCAGAGAAGCAAATGAAAAAAGTCAAACTAAAAACTTCTTTGAGAAGATCAATAAAATTGATAAACTTTTGTTCAGACTGATCCATAAGAAAGAGAGAAGGCACAAATGACCAATATCAGGAATGACAGAGGAGCCATCACAACCAACCCCACAGACATTAAAAAGATAATAAAGAATACAACTCTATACCCACAAATTTGAGAACTTAGATGAAATGGACCAATTCCTTGGAAAAAGTGATGCAGATGGTGTTCCTAAGTGTTTACCTCCTTCCCTTGGGATCCCCTCCATAATAGAAAAAGCCTCAGGTGCTGGGAATGAGAAAGCTTCCCCGGGACTAGAACTCATCAGGCTCTGTGATGATAACAATTATAGCAGTTTAATAGCAGTACCAGTGATGGCAGCAGCCCCAGCTAACCCTCATTGCACATCATCTACTGGCAAGGTGGACAGTCGGTGGCTCACCCCTTCCCCCGACCAGGCCAAGACCTCACCAGCTAGTGCTTGGCAGCCTCCTGGATCCAGTGAATGTTGTCCACATACTGCAGAGTCACAGCTGGGTTCACTGCAGGGAGAGAGGGAGAGGGGTGTCATGGGCACCAGGAGCCCCTGACCTGAGATAGGGCGTAGACTCTCCCTCTTGCAGGCTGTTCAGCACAAGTACCTGTTCTTCACCCATCACTGGAGCCCAGATTAGTGGTCAAGGAGACGCTCTCCCAAGTACCACACAAGGCTAGCTGATTTTCAGAATCAGCAATGACTATGGTCATGTAAATTAATGCATGGACATTTGCAGCCCCCTGCCTGATACATTCACTCCCTCATCATCTTTCAAGAGTCATGCCAGGCACTGGGAATAAAGACTGCTGCAGGCCATCAAGAAAATAAGAGTGTGGTGAAGTAGTCACTAGGATGGCAGATCAGGGGAACGAAATCCTCTCTGAGATGGTGACAGTCAAGCTATGTCCTAAATGCTAAGGAGGAACAACCTACATGAAGATCTGAGGGAACAGTGTTCTAGTCAGAGGAGACAGCAAGTGTAAAGTTCCTGAGGTGGGAAGAAATTTGGCCTATCTAAGTAAGACAGGCAATTTGGTTAAAGTATGAATGGTATGTAGAAGAGGATGGTAGCATTGGATCTCCGGAGATGCTCCTACCAGCTTGCGAGAGTAGACTGCTAAATATTCAGGAATTGTGTGAGCCAGTAATTAACACAGACATCATTAAATTTCAATTAAATAAAATTACACTTTAAAATTTTTATTCAAAATGAAGGTAATGCTCACAAGTCATCACTACCTTTTAGGAGGATCTACATTTTCAAGGTTATCTGCCTGGTGGAAATACTACTGCTACTCCATGTAGAGTCTCACTGGAAATCAGCCGCCTTGAGAGTATTTAGACTGTGGCCATCAGCAGATGCAACAGCTCAGGGCCTCTTCTTGGAGGGCTGGTTGTTGAACACCGACCAACTACCCACTGAGGGCGGTCCAGTTGTTCTAACACCTAGAAGCCTCAGGAGATCTCTGACCAGATTCCCAAGAGAAGGCCCCTACTTTCACTTCCTTTCCCAAGAGGCCTTCTCCAGCCTGGCTCCTCCCAATAAGTGGCTTTGCACAACCTCAGCCTGGTTCTCAAACCCTGGATCCCTGTAAACCAGACCCTATCCAACTCGGATGTGGACAGCAGGGTGAAAATGGCCTCCTGGGATTTAAAACAAGCAACAAAGGCTGAATAGCCCACACAGAAAAACACTGGGAGAAAAGGCCACCCCTGGACTTATAAAAAAGCTGCAGAGAAATGGGGGTAGGAGCTCTGATAGCTGAGGAAGTCTTGTAAAATAACTGCCTTCTCTTCTCCACATGATAAACAACACGTCAAATCCACTACATGAGAGTGGACTGTGGTTAAACGACCACCCCATCAACATGGAAAGGCAGAACCAACACTCTGTATCAGAGAAATCACTGATCAACTGGAAAGTCTCTGGCATGTAATAAGCAGAGTGGACCTAGCATATGTGGAAGGTGGAAGGCACAGAAAGATCACAGAAAGCAGCTACAAAGAATCAGAAGCACTGTTGATAGGCATAAACTGGAAGCCATGTGCCCCTCTGCCCACATGGGCCAGGCAGAGGATGAGTAGCGGGGTGGTGGGGAGGTCTGCCTTGCATTGCCAGGCAAGCTTGCTATGGGAGACTCTGGGGGCCACCTACCCTCCAGCATCTCCAACTCAACAGCCTCACCTCCACCAGCAACGGCTTCCTCCAGCACAGATGTGGCCAGCTGATCAGTGACTGCCAAGTCCTGGGGATCCCCCGATGTGCATACCTAGTGGAAAGGCCCAAATCCCTGGGAGAATTTGTCCCTACAAAGACAAAATGTCTCAGTCACCTTGGGGTTCTTCCCAAGCTGGCTGTATCCACTGGCTGAGCCAAGGCCAAGATACAAGGGGAAGAAGCTGGCATATGTTCAAGAACTGAGAGGAGGTGAAGGCTATGTGTGAGTTGGGGGTTTCTATTAGGGGGACATTGTATGTGGGCATGTGTAGTAAAGTGGGGGCTCCAGTGTTTAGAATTGTTGTTAGAAGCCACTAAGTCACTAATTGGACATGAAATTTCAGAGATCCTGCCATCAGCCACCCACTCAGGCCCATGGCCAGGCCGTGGGATGGACAGCTCCTCAGACACAGCATTTAGGGTCGTGGGTACTGGAGGTGATCTTGGCTCCAGGCCTCTGCAGCCTCTTTGTCCTCTCACTGAGGCCCAGTGCAAGGTCTCTCATGGCTTCATTTCTTCTTCACCTTCATTCTGTGGTGGAATCCCATGACCTGGTGTGGTGGCCACTCTGGGATCTCAACAGTGATCAGAGGAGAGGCTTTTCTGACCTGAATATCCAAGACCCAGACACTGGAAGGGGCCCCATCACTTACCCCATAACATGCTAGACGTACGAGGGGTAGCAGAACTCTGTCCTTTTGGCACCTTTCTTCTCCACGTTGGCTCCTGTGGACAGAGCTGCTGCACAATCACTTGGAGGGCATCAGGGCTGGCAGGCCCTACCCTAAGATGAAGACACACACCACAATCCAGGTGGCAATTTAAACAAAGAGCCCAGGGAAAGACTTAGGAAGTACTCTTTTCTGATAGGGAAGCAACATCAGGTCTCTTTTCAGGTAAAAGAAGAAGAGATAGCAAGTGCAGCGCTGGCTGGAGTAGATAGGCCCTTGATGTATGGGGTGGGGGGACAGCGGGTACACATGCTCATGTCTGCCGCATCTATGTCCAGACAAGAACCCCAGAACCTGCAGATTCTGGGTGGTAGGGGAAAGAGCTGGTGCCAGAGACAGGGCTGGGAAGTAGACTTTTCACTGAACTTTTTTGTATTTTCTGAACTTTATAACTCATGAATGAATCACCTGTTTTATAGGAAAAAAAGTTTCCTTCATGGAAAAGTAAAGCTGCAATTTTTTGCACTGGAGCTCATACCTGAGCATTGTACTTACTCTCTTTATGGTGCTTTATATTCTTAAGGAAAATGGAGAAACTGAGGCCAGAGGTGTCAAGCTGGTAGGACCAGCTTCCAGAAGGCCTGGGCAGGGGGACAGTAAAACCTGCATATCATGGCCTCTGCCTTTCCTGGGCATCTGCTGGCCACTCCTGGCTGGAGGGAGAGGATTGTGCCCAATGCCAGCATCTTGGTTCCTCTCAGCCTAAGGAGGATGGGGCCCCCCTTGCCAACCCTCCCTTCTCTCACCTGCTCTCTGGACCTCCAAGAGGAAGGTGTTATCATAGTCCCAAAAGAAGAAGTTCTCCTTGGCCACCCTGTTGATAGCAGAGACTTGCCTCTTCAGACTGCAACAGGCCAGCAGTCAGCTGTCAGCTCTGCCCACTGGTGAGGCTCTGAGAATGGGCCCTCTCCGCCCCATCACTGTCACCTCAAGGAGCTCAGCCAGCTCTGCTGACTTCCACCCTGTCTGACAGAGGAGGAGACGGAGGCTCAGAGAAGTTGAGGGTCTTGCTCAAGGCCACACAGCTAGCCACTGGAGAACAATGCAGAGGCCTCAGCTGTCCAGTCCCAAAGCTCTTTCCAGTGTGCAGCCACTCCTGACCCTTCCTCATGCCCTGGGACATGTATCACCTTTCCTGGACCAGGTCCTTGAATGTGGCAGAGTCAGAGGCCATGAGGCTTTGGGCCTCTGCAAAACCAGGCTGCACAGGATAATAGCCACCACTGAATGGGTTGTGGCAGGATGTCTGATCTGACCCCAGGTCCACCAAGAGCTCCCCTGTTGTGTCCAATTTGTGAACCAGGCACTCCCTGAGGAAGTGTAGGATAGTCAGTGCAGGGCAGCACCTGCCCAGGGCAGGGACAGGCAGCATCTGGGGCCCCAGCTTAGGGACCAGCCAGGAGGGGATTGCAGCACATTTTCCAGCCCACACGTTCAGTAGCTAGTGACTGAGGCTAATCTTACATACCCCCACACACTACTTCCTCCACCCACAAAGAACATAGGCCACTGTGGGCTTGGGCCAGGATCAGGGCCATGAAAGCTGGGAGCAGAGCCTCAAGCCAGCATTTAAAGCTTTGTGTCCCAGGAGCACATGGCCACCATTGGGACCTTGGCTGGAGAGGGAGGTTCAATTGAGGTCTCCAAGGCTGTAGACTCCAACGCCGTACTTACCACAAAGATCCACCACAATGCCATGGTAATCAAGGCTGAGCACCTCCTTTTTCCCCCTTGCTTCCCTAGAGGGCACAAGAGCAGAACATATGACCCTATCACACCTGCCCACAGCTGTCCACCCCAACCAACACCCAACTGGTGAGAATGCAGAATAGCAAAACTGTTATGGGAGGAGTGACGTCAGAAACATGACAGAGTGAGAGACATCCCCAGATATTCCTCCTTGAAACAACAATAAGCTAAACATCTACAACTCAACAGAAACACCCAACCTGTACACAAGCACATCTCAGCAAAGGATCTGTACATTAGAGCTACCACAGGTCAGAACCCCGAGAGTCGGGTAATAGACTGGGGGAAACAAAGAAGCTGCATCTTGCAGCCAGAGCTCCTTGAAGGAGGAAGGGCAGGGGACAAGGTGCAACAGTTTCCCTGAACAACCCTAAGAGAGCTGTGAGCTCCATGCAGCGTCAGTGCCCAGGGATCAGAGCGAAATGCAGAGAAGTGGGGATGATGGGGAAGTGGGGACGGCAGAGAAGCAACAGTTGATTATTACCAGTGGCAGATGCAAACAGAAAGGCTGAGCTGTAGCCCCCATCCCCAACCCAGAGGGCCCCTTCAAGACTGAATACTTCAGAGCCCCAGGAAATCTGAGCAAATGCTACTGAAACTGTTGTTAACACTTTAGGACTTTATATAAAGCAAGGATCCAAGAGGCTTAGATGCCACCTACTGAAAACCAAAATAAAAATGCCATCTTAGCAATAAGAGAGACCTTTATATAATAAATTTTTCTGGGAAAAAAGCAGAATACACTTCATTAATGCCCAGTAAGAGAAATAGTCCATTAAACATCATGAATAACCAAGGTGACAAGGCATCTTAGGAAGAAAGAGAAAAATCTCCAGAAAATAAACTTAAAGACATGGAAATATGTGACTTAAATGACAGAGAATTCAGGATGGTACTTCTGAAAAACTCAATGAGATCCAAAATAATTCATATAACAATTCCAGAAATTGAAAAAACAACTAGATCAGCAGAACGAGTTCTTTAGCAAAGAGATTGAAACCCTCAACAAGAACCAAATAGAACTTCTAGAAATGAAGAACACACTGAAAGAGTTGAAAAATGAAATAGCAAGCTTGGGAAATAGAGTCGACCAAATGGAGGAAAGGATCAGTGATATCAAAGACAGAAATCTATAAATAAATCAGAAGGAAGAGAGAAACCAAAGAATGAAAAATAATGAAAGGGAAATACAAGAACTAGCTGATAATATCAGGAGAGGAAACATAAGAATAATGAGCATTATCAAAGGGGAGGAAAAAGAGCAGAGTTCAGAAAGCATTTTCGGACAAATAGTTGATGAGAATTTTCCAAATTTAAGGAATGAGCTGGAGCTTGGAATTCAAGAAGTCAACAGACCACTCGATTATCTCAACCCAAAAAGGCCTTCACCAGGACACATTGTATTAAAATTATCAAAAATCAGTGACAAAGACAGAATTCTCAGGGCATCTAGGGAAAAGAAGATGGTAACCTATAAAGGAAATCCCATTAGATTATTGTTGGATTTCTCAGCACAAACCATATAAGCCAGAAAGGAGTGGAATCAAATATTCAAACTATTAAATGAAAGGAACTACCAGCCTAGAATAAATAATGTATCCAGCAAAGCTCTCCTTTAGATATGAAGGAGAAATTAAGACCTTTCCGGACATACAAAAATTGAGGGAATTCTCCACTAAGAGGCCTGCATTACAGGAAATACTGAAAG